TTCCAAGTCCAAGTGCCTGCCATACAGCAGACTGTGGCGAGGATCACCCCTTCCTTGGCAGCCCGCCTCAGGATGGGGACAGCAACGGCAGAAGCTTGTGGAAAAACAAGGCAGCGATTACATCTGCCCAGGAGAACGCAAGGATCACTCTCGCGAGATCTCGACTCCTGCGAGAATTCAAGGGTCCCTCAAGAACACAAGGTCTCACACAACCACATTGGGAACCAAGGGCGTGTCTGCTAGGCCCCGCCTCTTAAAGGCTCCACCACCTCCCAATTCCAAGTCTTCAATCACATCAGCTTTTGGAGGATACAATTAAGCCATTTCCAAAGCACAGCACGTGTATGGTCTCATTTAATCATCACTGCAAGTCTATGAGCTAATTAACTACCTTTCCCCCTGATTCCTGAGACCAAGAGGTCCAGCTTGCTGGTGGTGGAGTCACCAGGAGTGTGTGGTGCTGGCGTTCAAAGTGGTCACGCAGAGCTTCTGAGCCACACTCAAGCCCCACCACCCTGCTGCCCTGTGCACGTGCCCTATGGCCTCTTCCTCCGGTCAACACACCGCCTGCATAAAGTACACAGCTCAACCCCAAACTGCAGAATTTCTGCCTCCTCATTGGGGAGGCCAGAGGCTCCTGCGGGGGGTGAAATGATGGAGGTCAGGAGAGAGTGTCTACCCTTGAGCTGCTTTCACTAAGACCAGAAATTCCATTTCCCAAACATGTGATTACTCTTATCCCATTATCTAGGCTTCGATCGTAGTCTGATAAATTTCTGAAGTGCACTCATGCTCAATTTAAATTTACTTATTTCTGTGCATTCTAAGTTAATCCTTAAATAAATTAACTTAAGGACACTTCTTGTTTTGAGCAATATGTGATCATGATATATTTAGCTTTCTGCTTTGGTCTCTAAAATTTGAATGGGTGGCAAATGAGGATGTTCATAGTTTAAAGCAGAGAGGATAAAGAATGTCTATCCTTTTCTTAGGATTTACTATATACTCATAGTTTTGATAAGTTCACAAGCTTGTCAGTAAGTTCACAAACTTATCTCATTTTAGCCTGAGATACTTATCCCCCCCTTTTCAATCTGAGTAGTTTGTGAGTTTATATTGACAGCTGACTTGCTTCTGGTTTAGCCTGCTGTTATCCATTATTTCCATCTGTTATCTTTAAATAGTTTCCAAAGTGCCTTATGAACTCTGTTCTTAAAGGACATAGGGAGCTTTAAAATATGGACTCACACTAACTGTAGTGGTTAGTGAAGTCATCGTGGAAGGCAGACACTTTGCTTGAGGTATAACTGAAAACAATCCTGCAATGAAGTGACCTGCCTCTTTTGTCAAAGACAGTGCCACATAAAACAAACAAATACACAAAACTGTCATAGATTTCAGGTAAGAATGATCCAGAAAACAAAGGAATTTGAAAAGGACTCCTTGGATGTAAAGTAGCAAATGTAGCACATGAAGGAAACTAGGACTCTTGACTTCCTAGAGACATTTAACCACCACCTAAATGAAAAATCCAGCTGGGGTATAGCTCAGTGGTAGAACTCTGGCGTAGTATGAGCAAGACCATGGATTCCATGTTCACTCTCACAATAATAGTAATAATGTCCTATGGTGATTGGAAAGCCTCCATGGGATGGTCAGTCACCAACTCAAAAGGATGAGAGAGACATCATCTCCTCCTACCCTATGCACATCTCCTTTCCTACTTGGGGGCTCAGCAGGAAGGGCTGTAACAAGATTACTTGTTGATAAAGGGATTTCTAGTTGCTGCTTCAGAACTAAAATAATGTATTGGTTTCCTTTGATGTTTTGTTTGCTGACAAACTGCTAAACTTTGAAATGCAGGAGAATTCTAATTTAGTTCAAAAGCTTATTTTTAGATGTGTATCAGTCAATCACGGCACTGACTTTTATCCAAAATGTACTTGTTTTTTGTTTTGTTTTGTTTCGTTTTGAGATAGGATCTCATTATGTAGCCTAGGCTGGCTTCAAACTCACAGTCCTTCTGCCTGAGACTCCTGAGTGCTAGGAAACCCACCACACCCAGTTCAGAATTCTTTTTAAATGCAAATCTTTTCCTCATAAAAGTCATACATATCCTCCACTATCTCCAGCCCTTTTTATTTGGCTTTCTCAATTCCCTGTGAGCTGGGAGCAAACTTCTAAAGACATAGCTGTCCCCTCACTGACATGAACAGACTGTCCTGGATGGCCTGGAGACTAAACATAAATCAATCTCACTGCTAATCACAAAGTTACTTCGAATCCAAAGTGGTCCTATTGGAAAGGACACAGGGACATGGTGGTTTAGGAGTAAAACCAGTGTAATTTCTACATCTGTACTAATTCACTTTGCCCTATAGACTGGTCCTATACTTTGGTCTATCTTTCAGTAAACTTATTTATGCTATACTAAAGGATCGAGGCACGGATGGGCTTGGTTCAGTTCCATTTTTCCCTGTCTCTGCTCATGTCTCTGAAAAGCATCATTACTACTTGAACTCCAGCAGAAGAGTTGACTTCTACAAGGACTAGGTAAACAATACAAAGCCCATAGGCCAAGTTCATTCAGCCCGACCTGTTTTCTTGGGCCTGCACAGTTATTTTGTTTCGGCTTTTAATTTGAATTTCAATGTTTTTTAAAAAGGGCACAAACTCCCCAGCTCACTGTTAATCCCTAAATACACCCCTATCACACAGCCCACTTGACTCTTTCTGTATTACCTAACACCCCCAGGGGCTTCTGACCTTTCAACCTCTAGAGAGCAGAAAATTCTCCTCAGTTAACAGCCTTAGAGTCAACATTAGATGCTGAAGTTGCAGGGCCCTTGGAGAATGAAGGCAGGTACATCAAAGTTACCAATAGCTCAGTCTATGAGGTGTTTTCAATTGTCAACCTCTAGCCATTTCTGGGCTTCTTGGTTCTGCAGTTTCTAGGAACTCCTTACAGAGTAGAACAAATGCAGCATCACAAATCCCATGTGTTTCTGTGTTGAGTCAGAGCATCAATCCTGTCGTTTGTCAGCTTCTTCCCATCTAAGAAATGCCTAGTTGGCTGAACTTGGTTCCCAGAATTGAAGATAGAACTGTCACACTTTCACTGGAGGTATTTAACTTTTTTGTTTTGGTTTGGTTTGAACTCAGGGCCTCACACTTGCTAGGCAGGCACTTTTACCACTGGAGCCACTCTACCAGCCCTAAGTTTTTTTTAAGACAGGTTTTTGCTCCATGGTCCAGGCTGGCCTGGAACTCATGATTGCCCCGCTTCAGCTTCTCAAGTGCTGGGATTAGACGCATGTACAGCCATGCCTGGCTAGATGTATTTAATTTTACTCCAACAATCAATTTCAAAATGCTCTGTAGAAAAAAGCCAGGCACCAGTGCCTCACACCTGTAATCCTAGCTACTCAGGAGGCAGAGGATTGTGGTTCAAAGCCAGCCCTGGCAAATAGCTCACAAGACCCCATCTCGGAAAAAGAAAAAAAAATCCACAGCAAAAAAAGGGCTGGTGGAGTGGCTCAAGGTGTAGACGCTGAGTTCAACCCCAGTACCACAAAAAAAAAAAAAAAAAAAAAACCCAGGTCCAGAGATTCATTCATCTTCTTTCCTCCCCTCCTCATACTTCTTCTTCCTTCCCTTCCTTCTTTGATTCTCAAATCTAAATGATGTCTAAGGGGTGGGAATCTTGGTTGGGGAGATCTTTATGTTACATTGTGCCCCACGTTAACTCTCACCCCTATGTTTGCTAAAACATCCAAGTTCCTATATGCCATGGACATGTCCTTGGAAAGTCACAAAATAAACTCCATATATTTTTAGGGAGGGAATAAAATTTGCTCAGTACAGAGGGCTGGGGGTGCGGTTCAGTGGTACAGTGATGAGCTAGTATTTGTCAGAACCTGTGTTCAACCCACAGCTACTACAAAGTAACGACAAATAACAACCACCAAAACCCTAATAGAACCAGCAAGTGTTCTATGAAACAGAAAGCAAAATTCACTTTTAAGAAAGATAAAACACAGACACATGTATGAAAATGTATAGTGATTCCTGGCGCTAGTGGCTCACACCTGTAATCCTAGCTACTCAGGAGGCAGAGATCAGGAGGATCAAGGTTTGAAACCAGCCTGGGAAATATAGTTCACAAGACCCTATCTTGAAATAACCCAATGCAAAAAAGGGCTGGTGGAATGGTTCAAGTGGTAGAGCACTTGCCTAGCAAGCATGAAGTCCTGAGTTCAAACTTCAGTGCCAAAAATAAATAAATAAAATGTCATAATGAAACTTGAGTTTTAGGTCCCAGGCCCAATGTGTCAAGTTCAACCACTTGCCCCAAATCAACAAATAAAGAGACAGATAATGGTGAAAGACAGAAAAAGGAAATTTATTACACGGCTCGTGCCCACTGAGGGAAGAAGCAAAGTAAGCATTTCAGCCCATCTTCACCCATCTTTAGAGTACAGAAATGAGCATTAGGTTTACACAAAGAATTAGGGCAGGAGTGAAAATAGGAATAGTCAAACAGTCCCAGTCACAGGTGTGGCCTGGTTGACCATTATCTCAGTCCTCTATTCTGGAAGGGGTTCCAGAGAAGCTGTTATCTTTTTGTTTGTTTTTTGGGGGTTTGGACAAATTTATTCAAACGTACAGGGTGTCAGCAGAGAAATCATTCAGTGGCGTGTTACATTGTGCCACTACCTTGAATGTATAGTTTAAAAATTATAAATTGTATTTCGTAACTAAGCCTTTGGCCAAAAAAATGAAAGTCGTTTAGCACCTTTGTTAAAGATCAATAAGAAATGGATTTTTGAACATTAAAAAGATCAAGTCACTGAATTAAACAGCAGCAGCCCTCACTAATCTAAAATCCCATATTGAAGGTAGTATCCGCACAGAGCTAGTCACTTATTACAGCAGTCAGAAGAGATGGGGCAGGTATACTATTAGAGGTGGCTGCACAGCTGGCCTGGAAGGAGGGCAGGGCTGCTCAGGTGAGCATGTCCCAGAGACAGCAGCAACAGAGAGCAGTCCAGCAGGCTGTGAGGCAGGTGGATGGGCCCAGGTCATCTCTTCTTTGGTCTTCCACCACATACACTGTGGTCTTAGGAGGCTCCTGTGGTCTGTCCTGCCAGCTGTATTGTGGATATCCTTGATAGAGGTACCTCTGAGGAGGTGGGTAGGGCCCCCCGACAGGCCCCATTGGTTGTTGTGGATAAGGTGGGTATGGAGCCATTGGGCCTGGGCCCGGATATGCTGGAGGGTTCTCTGGGTTCATCAGGGACCTGCAAAGGGCACGTCTCCTCCCCAAGAGGTGGCTGGCTTCTGGTCACGTCCGGGCAGGAGAAGACAACCAGACCGCACTCGAGAAGCTGTTATCTATCAGGATAAATGATTCATTGTTGTTCTGAGGAAATTCTGCTATTTCCTTTGTTGGGAGCAGTTTCCTCCCTCCCTCTTTGTAAACATTTTATCAGATCAGTTCTATCCTTCTTGGATTCCGAGGTGACTGCAAGGTAAATGGCTTGGACAAAAATGAAGGCAGAGATGTCAAGCTTTTCTTCTACTTCTAATTTAGTGGGCCCAAGTAAGGAGTCAGTGCTCTTCAGCAAAAGCAGTTTTAAAGTACCTGTTACAATAATGAAACCATTATTTTGGACACCTACTATACACTAACAGCTGGGCACCAGTGGTTCAGCCTGTAATCCTAGCTACTTGAGAGTCTGAGATTGGGAGGATCACTGTTTGAGGCCAGCCTGGACCAACAGTTCCCAAGACCTCCATCTCCAAAATAACCAGAGCAAAATGGACTGGAAGTGTGGCTCAAGTAGTAGAGCACCTGCTTTGCAAGCATGAAATCCTGAGTTCAAACGTCAGTCCCACCAAAAGGGCAAGAATGATAGACATAGGCCCCACCTGAAGAAGCCCTGGAAGGGGTGTGGCTTGCACTCTGCCTTGCAGGCTTAGCATTTTCTTTCTACACCTGCATGTGAAGGCAGCGTGACTGGGATTGCAGCCGGCTCTGTGAGGTCAACATGGCCATCAGCTGTTCCTGCATCTTCTCCAGGTGGGGCAAGGCTACAGGCTGGTGGAGCGTGTGCTGGGAGCCAACAGCATCCTCAATCAATCTGCCAGCATATTTAGCTGTATTTTCTACACACTGCAACTGTTGCCTGAGGGTTCACTGAGCCTCTGTCCTGCTGGTGCTGAGTTCTCTGGTGTCCCTCACTGGACTTGTCTACTTGGCCTAAATCCTGTTCGTGCTCTATGATTTCTGCATCGTTTGCATCACCACCTGTACCATCAATGTGGGCCTGATGTTGCTTAGCTTCTGGGAGGCCCAGGAACCCCCAGCGCAAGACCAAGAAGCAGTGAGGCTGCTCCCCACACCAGGCTGACCTCACCTGCTTTGTTTTGAGTCTTGCACATTAGCCTTGCACAAGGGACGCAAGTCGGGCTCCTAGAAGTCCCTCATCCTTTACCTACCCTCTCCATAACTACACAAAGGACAATGAACTAAATGTGCCTCTCACTCTGTCCCCACGGGCTAGTTTCTGACATTGCCCAGGGAGGGAAGATTCTGAACAATAAAATTTCTTAAGTTAAAAAAGAAGAACAGAGAACTGGGTAATCCTAGCTACTCAGGAGGTAAAAATCAGGAGGATTGTGTTTGAGGCTAGCCTGGGGAAATAGTTCACAAGACTGTATCTCAAAAATACCCAATACAAAACAGGGCTAGTGGAATGGCTCAAGTAATAGAGTGCCTGCCTAGCAAGCGTGAGGCTCTGAGTCTAACCCCCATAGTACCAAAAAAAAAAAGGTAGCACAGGTTGATAAAGACATTTCATGCTTGTAGCAGGCTTCTTTCATATGCTGCCCTAGATCCAGAGGACTGCTTTAAAATTCTCCTGTGCTATTAAGAATATTTAGGTGAAAGTTTGAGGAGCTGTGAAATTCTGGCAAATTCTTCTTTCATAAAACACGGCCTGTTTTTGTATCTGAAAGGAGTATTTCTTTATACCCGGGGTTCAGGGAATGAGAAAACATGTAACCCTTGGCCGGACACTAAAATCTATTCCTGGGGCTTGCCAAAAATGCTTGGGTTGAGTCACTGGACTTGACTTCACAGTCCCATTCAGAGACCACCGGGATTGTGAAAGTTTTGCTGCTGAGTCTATTTCTTGTAAATGATTTCACATATTTAAGAAAAAATCATTTAGCTCTGATATTGTTGATTTTGGGGTTCTCCCCTCCAGGCCCAGTATATTTGCCCTGTTTATGTAGGACCAGGGTCAAATATTTGCATTTTCTCTGGTCTGCATTTTTTGGGAAGTAAACAGGCAGCAATAAAGAAACTTTATTATGCGTGTTTCCTGCCTTGGGTGACATGTGGAATGTGCTAGATCTGCTGAGTACAACTCAAATTTTAAAAGGCTCCTGAGCCTCACCTATTCAATGCCATGCAAGTCAAATAGTCAGCAGAAGCGAGCTGCGTGGAACTTTTCTCTTGTCTCAACTGACACCAAACCCTGTTGTGGAATTCCAATACTTTTTTCTTCTTCCAGCTATTAAGTGTTCATGGCCAGATTTACACAACCATCTCCTCTCCTCCTCTCCAGTAATGAACACCTGAGCTTGCATATTACCTAGGACATCATGGTACAAAGAACTTTGAGTGCAAAAAAAAATCTCCAAATCAAACAAAAGCACAAATCCACCCACGTCCCTTAATTTTCCAAGTATCTCACTTCCTTTCTGTAAGATTTAATAGAACTTAAAAAGTGACCTTAAAGTAATGATTTATACACGTATTGCATAGAGTCACATTAACGCCCACCAAAGGCATTTGGCTCGGACTGCTTCCCATTAACTTGCATATGGGGTTGAAAGCAGGGCATAGACTGAAGCAGAAGTAAAGAACAAATGGAAATTCCAAGCACATGGCACTTTCTCCAAGTTATTTACCCCACGCTAGGACCCTGTCTTAGGACAGGCAATCCTACAAATTCCTGTTAAATCTTTTCTAGGCAAGATGCTTAATTATCATTGGTTGAAGGAAGAATATCAGAATTCTATGTTGCCAGAAGTTAAGGTTGGGAAGCTCTAGAGATAGAGAGACCTGATTGAGACTCTACCCAATGTTTCCAGGTTCTTGTCACCATCAGAGAAAGAATTCAGAGAGGAAACAAAATAAGTAATTGGGAAGATGTCTTATGAAAGAGCCAAAGTAAGCTACTTGGGAGGTAGAGATCAGGAGAATCTCGGTTTGAAGCCAGCCCAGGCAAATAGTTCACAAGACCCTATCTTGAAAATACCCAACACAAAACAGGGCTGGCAGAGTGGCTCAAGTGATAGAGTGCCTACCTGGTGAGCATGAGGCCCTGAGTTCAAACCCCAATACTGCCAAAAAGTTTTTTTAAAGGAGAGCAAAAGTACACACTAAAGAGGAAGTATGGGCTTCTCAAGAGAGTCATATCATTGGGATTTTTGGATGGCTTGTCTTATGGCAAACTTTTATGGAGAGGATTATTCAATTATTCATGTGTTAAGGGAGGTAGGGAAGACAGGGAGTTCCAGAAATGGGTCAGGATTTTCCCAGGGTTTACTCCCTTTTTCTGTCCTTATGTGAGTTTTCAGATGTGTCACGTCATCAGATATATGATGGAAACAGCCAGTTCTGCAAGGTTAATGATAATGAAGCAAAGAACAGTTAATGATTTTTTTAGGGTGGTACTGGGATTTGAACTCAAGGCCTCACACTTGCTAGACAGGTGCTCTACCATTTGAGCCACTCCACTAGCCCTGCTTTGTGTTGGGTATTTTTGAGATAGAATCTCCTGAACTATTTGCCTGAGCTGGCTTTGAACCACAATCCTCCTATCTCTGCCACCTGCGTAGCTAGGATTACAGGCATGAGCCATCAGTGTCCAGCCTCCCTTTCCTTTTTGAGCCAGAATTTAGATTATGAACATAAAGTAACTCTCCAAGAGCTGATTCTGACTGAGGCCACTGTTTTCCATGAAGGGAGCTTGTGGTTGCTCTGTTGTGACTGTTGATTGCACACATCTGGAAACTATGACAACCAGTTTGCTTTGAGCTCAGCTTGGCCCCAATATAACTCTATATACAGCAGCTTCTATCCTTCAGTTTTTCCCAACACATCATAGCTTGGCTTGAATTTGGGCAGAGAGGTGGGTGTCAAAGAAAATGCACAAAATCTTGGAAGAAATGAATTTCAACTAGCAATTACACAGCCCTGTATGGCCCATCAGGGTCCTATCTATGGAGCTTTTGTGGATAGCATCTCATTGAAAATGCTTTAGGGAGCTTTATTTTGATACCACCTTTGTAGATGTTTCCAAGGAATCTGGGAAGTTTAAGTGACTTTCCCAAGGCCACAGAGATAATAAGGCATGGCCTTGGAAGATCCTGAAAATCCCAGGCTTTTTTTTTCTTTTTTTTTTTGAGCACTGGGGTTTGAACTCAGGGTCTCATGCTTGCTAGGCAGGCACCCTACACTTGAGCCACTCACTCCACCAGTCCTTTTCTGTTATGGTTTTTTTTCCAGTTAGGGTCTTGGGAACTAGTTGCCTGGGGCTAGCTTCGAACTGCAATTCTTCTGACTTCTGCCTTCTGCCTTCTGAGTAGCTAGGATTACAGGCATGAAGCACCAGTGCCCAGCAAGGCTTTTTGACATGGAAAGAAGCAGGGCAGGAAGATGTGCAATGCTGAAAGATCAGCTGCTGTGGTGTCTGCCTGCCAGAATTTGCTTTGAGTTGACACCATCTATAACAAATGCTGGAAGGAAGGGGAGGGAAGCCCAAGAAAGCTTCCTTGGCTTTTAGACACCCTGGACAGGCTCACTGTCCACTGTCACATATCAACTGGGGCAGGTGGGTAGTGAGATATAGCTAATTGAACATGCATGTGGCTGGCTGTATAGCTCAGTGATGTAACACTTCCCTAGCATGTATGAGTTCAATCCTCAGCACTGTGTGTGGGGGAGGTATGTAACCAATATCCGATCACAAATTTAAGGAAAAAAACAGTGTATAAAACACTGCCAGTATCATTAAATCTCTTGAGTTTTTGTTTGTTTGCTTGCTTGCTTTATTTTGCTGATTCAGAAGGTTTGTTAAGGCCAACATTGTCATGCATTAATTCTACAAATACTTTTTAATCTACCTATAATATGTCAAGCAATGTTCTAGGTGCTGAGAATACAGAAACTCTTGAACAAAAATTCTTTCATGCACTATCTGTTGCAACAAATCAAGTAGTGATAAATGAAAATATTTTTTTGGCAAAGAACTCTAAAAATTAAAAGTAGCTGTCTTAAAAAAGAAGATTTAAAAATATATAGAACAATTCTAATGCAGTTCCATTGTGGGTTCACTTGGTAACTTTTTTGTTTTCACCTGAAAAGCTTCCATTTTTTTCTTTTTTTTTTTAACTTATTTATTTTTTTGTGGTGCTGGGGTTTGAATTCAGGTCCTCCATCTTGAGCCACTCCACCAGCTCTCTTTTTCTGATGGATTTTTTTCGATATAGGGTCTCGTGCCTATCCATCTGGGACTGGCTTCAAACCACAATCCTCCTGATCTCTGCCTCCTGAATAGCTAGGATCACAGGCATGAGCCACCGGGGCCTCCCCATTTTCCTTTTGTTCCTCTGGTTTATAGAAGGACCTCCTTTATTTACAAGAGGCAATTTTATTTTATTTATTTTTCTAAATTCCAATGATATCTCATTTTCTTTTTTTTATTGTTTTATTATTCATATGTGCATACAAGGCTTGGGTCATTTCTCCCCCCGCCCCCACCCCCTCCCTTACCACCCACTCTGCCCCCTCCTTCTCCCCCACCCCCTCAATACCCGGCAGAAACTATTTTGCCCTTATCTCTAATTTTGTTGAAGAGAGAGTATAAGCAATAATAGGAAGGAACAAGGGCTTTTGCTGGTTGAGATAAGGATAGCTATACAGGGCATTGACTCACATTGATTTCCTGTGCGTGGGTGTTACCTTCTAGGTTAATTCTTTTTGATCTAAACTTTTCTCTAGTTCCTGGTCCCCTTTTCCTATTGGGCTCAGTTGCTTTTAAGGTATCTGCTTTAGTTTCTCTGCGTTAAGGGCAACAAATGCTATCTAGTGTTTTGGGTGTCTTACCTATCCTCACCCCTCCCTTGTGTGCTCTCACTTTTATCATGTGCTCAAAGTCCAATCCCCTTGTTGTGTTTGCCCTTGATCTAATGTCCACATATGAGGGAGAACATACGATTTTTGGTCTCTTGGGCCAGGCTAACCTCACTCAGAATGATGTTCTCCAATTCCATCCATTTACCAGTGAATGATAACATTTCGTTCTTCTTCATGGCTGCATAAAATTCCATTGTGTATAGATACCACACTTTCTTAATCCATTCCTCAGTGGTGGGGCATCTTGGCTGTTTCCATAACTTGGCTATTGTGAATAGTGCCGCAATAAACAAGAGGCAATTTTAGATCCCAACATAGCCTGCATCATCTCTTTCTATGTCTACAGTCAAAATATGGCTACTGAGCTGGGCGCCAGGCTCACACCTCTAATCCTAGCTACTCAGGAGGCAGAAATGAGGAGAATCAAGGTTTGAAGCCAGCCTGGGCAAATAGTTCTGTGAGACCCTATCTTGAAAAAACCCTTCACAAAAAAAGGGCTGATGGAGTGGCTCAAAGTATAGGCCTTGAGTTCAAGCCCCAGTACTGCAAAAAAAATACAGCTACTGTAAGTGAATACCGTGGGTTCTCTTGGTGAGTGTGAAGCCAATGAGTACAACCAGATTAAAACATCAGGAAAGATTTATTACTTGTAGTAAGTAATATCAAGGTCATTTGCAAAGCAATGGTCTCCCCCAAACAAAGGAAGCATGGGAATTTTATTCTGGGAACCTATACCTATGCATATAGGAAAGTATGGGGGTAGGGACACACTTCTGAGCATGCTCAGTTTAAGACTATAGACCACACGTTGGGACTGGAGGAGTGAGTCAAGTAGAAGAGTGCTAGCTTAGCAAGCATGAGGCCCTAAATTCAAAGCCCAGTACCATCAAATACATACATAGAAAGAAAGCAAGCTGATAGGTCACATGTTGAAAAGGAAAAATAGCCATTGTGAGGCTTCTGAGCATGCTCTGGTTTAGTATTAATGAGCAAAGTTTACTCTAGTGACCATGGCTGGTTCTTCCTAAGTGTCTCCAAAAAATTTTAGCTAAAACCAAAAGAAAGAACAAACTGTGAAGGTACATTGACAATCTTTTAAAGGGTTGGTGGCTTTCTCCCCTTAAATGTAGGACAGGAGTTTGCCCCTAAAAGTACCTGCCTTGTTTATTGGCTAACACTACTAGAGTGTGGGTTTTAGTACAGCCATACTGAAACCCTTATTGGGTGAAAAATGTTGCTTTGGTTTAAAATACAGATATACCAGAATACCATACTGTAGTATTTCAACTGTCCCTCTGTCCAAATCAAAAGCCTAGTGAAGGAAATTAGGACCATTACTCAAGTGCAATTATGCCGAGTATGTCAAATTGAAACACTAGAAGTAAATCATACACTTGGATATTACATTTCGTATTTGAGAACATGCCAGAAAACTTTTTATTATGGTTGAGTGTAATGTCAGGAGACAAACTTCTACAAAGTTTTATACATAAGTTTTTCCATTTTATCTGTTTTCCATTTATGTCGAGTTGAACACATGGTGTGACTTTTAATATTCACTTTTCTTTTCCACATTTTATGCCAAGTGATCAAACTCCATCTTGATTACCCTACATTTGCCCTTGGGTGACCTCAGACCAAGAATATTGTTTTAATTAGTATGGAAAAAGGAGCGAAGAAAAACTTCCAAAGAGACCTATAAACCGGGTCCCAGGGAAGCAAACCAACGGCCTGGAAAGGACAGCAAAGTGCCAGTGAATTATAGAAGAGGACTGTGGCTGCAGGCAGCTCTTGCCAACTCAGACATGTACTTGTGGATTATAAAGTAAGTGCCCGCACCAGTGGTCCAGCACCAGGAGGCGCTGCGCCCTTGGGATGAAGATGCTGCGCGCACCCCGCGCTGCAGTGGATGCGCCGGCGCAAGCGCACTGGGCTCCACTGCACCGTTAAGGGACCAACCGCTAGAGAGGATGGCTTCCAGCTTCAGGAGGTCAAACATCACCAGCCAGAAGAGAAAGGTGGGACCTAAGCCTGAACTCACTGAAGACCAAAAGCAAGAAGTTCGAGAAGCCTTTGACCTCTTCGATGCCGACGGAAGCGGGACCATCGATGTGAAGGAACTCAAGGTGGCCATGAGGGCGCTGGGCTTTGAACCCAGGAAAGAAGAGATGAAGAAAATGATCTCCGAGGTGGACAAGGAGGGAACAGGGAAGATCAGCTTCAATGATTTCTTGGCTGTGATGACTCAGAAGATGGCTGAAAAAGACACTAAAGAAGAAATCCTGAAGGCTTTCAGGCTCTTTGATGACGACGAAACCGGGAAGATCTCTTTCAAAAACCTGAAACGTGTGGCCAACGAACTGGGGGAAAACCTCACGGATGAGGAGCTGCAGGAAATGATTGACGAGGCTGATCGCGACGGTGATGGGGAGGTGAATGAGGAAGAGTTTCTTAAGATCATGAAAAAGACCAACCTTTATTAAGCGACTGCCTGGGTTGCCTGTTTCTGTTGTTGTGAAAATTTTAACTTACAGAACAACGACTATCTGTTCCCTCTCTTCTTTCCTAGTTTGTCTTGATTGAATTTTAAACCTCTAGATCAGTTATAAATTTTAGTGATGCTTGTAACATGACTTCTGTTTTTTTAATTCTCAAAAGTAGATCTGGAGTATCGTTAAGGGCCCTGAGGCTAGAGTCTATCTACCCATTGCCTTGCACTAGTGGACATCTGTGAATCTGAACACAGGACAGCTTCTTGGGACAAACAGATGTGGTTCTCTTGTCACTTCTTTGGTGGTTTTAAGTGATCTTGCTTCATATATCATCCCTTAAATTCAAGTCAATTTTCTAGCATGGTTGAGGTGGAATCTGTGTCATCCAAGCTATGCCTTTCTCTTCACTAAGTACTGGTTTGAAGGAAAACAGTGTGACTACTTAAGAACTTTTTGAGCTCAGGAAAGATACTGTCTTAAAACGCAGGCTTGCTGGGCGTGGTGGCGCACGTCTGTAATCCCAGCACTTGGGAGGCTGAGACAGGAGGATCTCCACAGCCCAGCCTAGGTGACATAGAGAGACCCTGTATCGAAAACAAAACAAAATGTATAGGCTTGCCTTTGGGAGTGGTACACTGTGTAATGTAGACTATTCTTTGACTTCATTCCATGCAAATGATTCTTCATTTAGTGACCCCAATAAAGAAGAATAAAAAGCATACCAAAGAAACCCGTGTGATTGTGTAGGGATGGCGAGGATGAACTTTTGCTTTCTAATTATATAACTGATTAAAAACAGAGCATAGGGCCAAGGATGAAAATAACACAGTGTCAAAGTTGTTTTAGTCTACTAAGAAAGCTAGTACCCTAAGTGAGCAGAGGACCATAGCAGGGTGTCTCAGTTATGTTTACAGTAAGACATGGGAAGTCCTAAGGCCAACTCCTGAGATGCTCGGAGGTTGCTTTCCATGGGAAGTGACTCTGAGCCTGAGGTTTTTTTTTTTTTTTTTGCAGTACTGGGGTTTGAACTCAGGGCCTGCAACTTGAACCACTACACCAGCCCCTATTTTTTGTGATGGGTTTTTTCAAGATAGGGTCTATCTTTTTTGTGCAGGCTGGCTTCAAACCACAATCTTCCTGATCTCTATCTCCTGCGTAGCTAGGATTTCAGTTGTGAACCACTGGCTGAACTTGAGATGTCTATGTAGGAAATTCGAGTGTGACTTCAGGAGCACACAGGTGGAGGAGGGAAGTCAGGACTGGGCAGAGAAAGGTTGAGTCGTAACCAAGTTACAACAAAAGACCCCAGCTGCCCATGGGGAGCTCTGATGCTAGGGTGGCTGGCAGAGATGTCTCAAACTGGAACAAGGAAGTTGAACCTTTAAAACTTCTCATTGACTGACAGTCACTGGGCATAAGCTGTCTCTAAGAGGGCATGAGAGCCTTCTTTGGCCTAGGGAAATCCCTGGGAGGAAAAACCCCATGACAAACAGATGTCAACACTCTGAGCACCTGGGGAGTGAGTGCTTCAGTTATAAAATTCCAAGGCAGGGGAGGGTGAAGAGGGTCAGAGGTGGAATCTGGGCAGTGTTCCATAGCTTCTGCTACATCTCTGGCACCATTTAGATTCACTGGCTCTGAATAAGTTCTGGAAGAAGCTGACTCAGAATTCTGATAAACCTCTCTTCTTGAGGAAACATAAAAGTTAGAGGGACAAACCGGCCCCCACAGCAGCTGAACCCAAGGACACAAATGGTGTTCATCACCTCAACAATCTGGACCCTTCTCACCCTTCACTAGCACCTCTGCTGATGTAGGTGGCATGCCAGGTGGGATGACCCAGGTTCTCCTAGGAGGGCTGAACCCTCAGTCACCATACTTTTCTCAGATTGTGGCTGGTACATGTGCCCCTTCTACCCTCAAAATTGAAGGGGTACCAAAAGATACTTGAGTGTATTCCTGGGTGTCAAAGATGCCCCTCTCACACTCTATATGAAAGCTTTTTTTTTTACTGGGATTTGAACTCAAGGCCTTCACCTTGAGCCACTCCACCAGCCCTATTTTTGTGTTGGGTTTTTTCGAGATAAGGTCTTGGAACTATTTGCCTGAGCTGGCTTTGAACCGAAATCCTCCTGATCTCTACCTCCTGCATAGCTAGGATTGCACGTGTGAGCTACTGGCACCCGGCTCACTCATATTTTTGTTTACGGTGTTGTTTCTTCCTTCTTAATGTCCCACTGTTCCTTCTAGTTTCATTTCCTTTTTGTTTAGAGAATTTCTCTAGTCATCGTTTTAGTGTGTATATATGCTGTGACAAATTTCCATAGTTTTCTTTTATCTGAGACTGTCTTCATTTGCCTGTTTATTCCTATAGATATATCACTGGGTATAGGATTCTGGGCTAATGGTTCTTTTCTTTTGGCACTAATATATAACATGGTGTCAACATAAAAACTAATCTAAAATAAAAATAAATGTGCCAGGCACCAGTGGCTCATGCCTGTAATCCTAGCCATTTGGAAGGCTGAGATTGGGAGGATCATAGTTCATATTCAGCCTGGGCAAATAGTTCATGCAACCCCATCTCCAAAATAACCAGAACAAAACAGACTGGAGGCATGGCTCAAACAGTAGCATGAAGTCCTGAGTTCAAACCCCAATGCCACCAATAAATAAATAAGAAGTAAGACTACATTCCAAAAGTATAATTTGCTGAATAAGGAGAGGCCTCTCTGTCAGCTGGAGGACAATGTCCTCTGTGGGCATTGTATATGAAAAGGAATGGAAAAATTGAGATAGACGGGGCAAATGGATACAAAACCATGTCTGAGGAAAAATGATTTAAAGAAACCAAGGCTGTGGGTCTTGAAAAGAGAATACTCTGGAGGCATCTGACCGCCAAAGAAACAGGAAGTGGATCATAGGGCTCCAAGGAGTTCCTATCAAGGAGAATGATAAGGGAAACAGATTTCAGTTTAGTATCAGGAAGACTTCTCAACAACCAGACCTGCCCAAAGACAGACTGTGTGGCCTAAGTTGGACGGAGGTTGTTCTAAGAAGCCATGGCTATTTCAAGATACTGATATTGAGATGCCACATCAGGCACCTGAATTTCAATATGGGTTTCAATATGAAATGGAGACTATTTAGACAGAGAACCTACAGATTCGCAGATTTGAAAGTTAACAATCTCCCCGCCAAAGATTACACACTTAACCAAGGATGCTGCTGGAATCAGATTGTTTTTGGATCTCCTCTTTTTGAAATCAACCTAAAAGCATCCAGCACATTCTTCTGAACATTTTCAAGAGGCAGATCTTTCTCCATTGAGACTGGGCTTAATTTTTTGAAACAATCTCAAACTGGTGGTATTCAAATATGATGAAGAGACTGGCTCAAAAGGCTGGACATTATCATTTGTGGTTAAAAACAGTAAATGCCAATGAAACAATGAGCCCAATTTTTTGAATGTTTTGTAAACTGGCTTTGAAGGAACTTCCAAAAGAGCAGCACCAGGAAGGCAGTAACTGACAACAGCATTGTTGGAGTGAGTCTGTAATCACCAAGGCAACCCAGTGTTTAAAGGAACTGCACTCACTTGGATGTGTAGATCTGGTGATGTTATTCTCAAAGGTATATAATATACAGATGCATCCTTTCCTATGTAAAAGAACTGTTATTGCACTTTTAAGAAATAAAGGGACAGAGGGAAGATTCTTGTGCATTCAGTGCTCAAATAACAATCTTCATTTGATGACATTAGGGGAAAAAGTTACAGTCTCTGCCATCTCAGGTAGAGATGGTAACAAAGTCATTCACTTCTGAAAGAGAGACCTGAGTTAAAGTCACAGCCATTGTAAGGTAGTCTTGAGACAAATTATTTCTTTGAGCCTCAGTATCTTTATTTGTAAAATAGGAAAAAATTATATTACCTTGTCAAGATATCATCAGAATTAGATCACATAAAGTGATCTGGCACATAATGTCTCAATTATAGGAAGATATTAAAATATTATATTATTAATATTGTATTAAATATTATATTAATAATAGGTGAAGTGTACCAGAAAAGAGAAAGTAGATAAATAAATCCTTCTCACAAATAGAGTACAATAACCTCAGAAAAAATATCACTTAAAATAAATATGCCTGTCAACCCAGAATTCACCACCCAGGACTAAGGAGAGAATTTTTGGGATCCAATGTAGGAAAATACTAAAAAAGAGTTTATGGACCCTTAGTAAGGGTGAACTTGCAATTTGTAGCTCTCAAGCTACCTCTTCCATCACCTGGTGTTTGTGGGCCTGAGGCCCAGGGACAGAATTTGGCTCCTACAGAACCACTTGGCAGCTACATCAGGGCAGCTGCAGCTGTGCTGGGTGTCCCCACACCAAGCGCCTAGCCAACCCACAAGCAGAGTCTGAAATCCAGCCACCACCCACTCATTAAGCCCAATGCCCTGCACAGGGAGCAACTACTCAGAAATACCTTTACTTGGCACATGGGCCTCAACTGCTATTCCCCTCACCCCCACCCACCACCCCTCTCCTTTATCTTCCCTGTACTTTTTTTTTATTTCTTATTTGCACAAAGCATGGTATATATTACCCAAAGTCTTCTCACTGAAATTTTTTTTTGCATGTTTTCTTTTTAAGCTGAGCTAGGTTGTGTATTAGTCACCTCTGCATGACCACAATGAAATACTTACCAAGTGAAGAAAGGTTTGTGCAACTCACAATTTGGGAGTGTCAAGGGCATGGCACTGGCATTGGCTCAGTTCTCAGCTGCATCTCATCATGGTAGGTGGAGAGGCGAGAGCGCGGGAAACAGCAAGTTATTACGTCTCTAACCAAAGGCGCACAGGAAGAGAGAGGTGGGGTTCCACAATACCTTTCCAGGGCCCACCCGGTGACTTAAAGACCCCCCCCCACCCCCACCCCGCCACACACACACTCTGGGCACCTCCTCCTTCAGGAGTCCTCTCCACCTTG